AGAAAGATCTTGTAGGGCAGGAGTGGGGAACTTTTTGTCTGCCATGGGCCACTTGGACATTTATAACATCATTTGCAGGCCATACAAAATTATCAACTTTAAAATTAGCCTGCTATATCTGGTCAAACATTTAATTAACTCACCCCTAATGCCTTGGCAGGGCCAGACGAAATGATTTCACAGGCCTTATATGGCCTGCAGGCTGGACGTACCCAACCCCTGCAGTAAAGGAAAAGGGGTGTTTTTCCCTCTCTACTTTTAATTTTTTTCATTTAAAAATCAGATTTGAAAGCAAGGGCTCACAGAGATATCGGCACACCCATGTTCATACCAATACAATTCACAATTGCCAAATGGAGCAACTCAAGTGTCCATTACAAATGAATGAATAAACAAAACATGGTATATACATACAATGAAATCGTTGTCAGCTGTAAAAAGAAAGGAAACTCTGACACATGCTACAACATGGATGAACCTTGAGGACTTTATTAGACTCAGTGAAATAAGCCAGACCCAAAAGAACATATACTGTTTGATTCCACTGATATAAGACAGCTAGACTAGTCAAATCCGTAAAGATGAGAAGTAGAACGTTGGTGTTTCAATGAACTCCACTTTTTACCTCACCAGGACAGAACACACCACTTTCTCTTTGAAAAAGCCACTGTTGTCCACACGGTGATAAGAGTCCCCAATCACCAAAACCCTGTACTGCTCTCTCCCCCAGACCACCAGCCTCTCAAGGGAAGAGCTACACATCTTGCACCAATTCCAGTACAAAGAGGTTCCATATCCAGAGTCAGCGAATAAACAAACCATTCAATGATGTTCAAATACTAGTCTTGCCTGGTTCTCCTCAACTTTGGCTTTGAAAAAATATACAAAAAATCTTGTGCTCTCTTTACCCACTTTAATTCAGCACATTGGTGATTGCAGATTTGGGTATTTTTCTATTACATAATACACTTAGCAAATCAAAGGCTCATTTGGATTTTTGATCCATAAAAGGAGTTGTGTCCTATCCCTTAATCTTTAACTTAGCCCCATAAAGCTAAAGACAAGAATTTATGACTCTTATAATCCAAAGGGAGGAAAATCCAGCTTTTTCTCTTGCATGTTTGCTTGCATGAATGAAAGAGGAAAATTAGGGATGGGGAGGAGATGCTGAAATTAGAGAGTTCATTAATATGCTACTATAACAGAAATATTAACACTATTTTTCCCTTATAATTAACCAAATAAAAATATAATGTTAGATTTAAACAGCACCATCCTGAGAATACACTATAAATGGGGTTTAAGAACAACAGCCTGGTAGGGACTGGAGATCACTACTCTTCACATGACCTTGCCTGGATGTTCCCGGATGGCAATCCACCGAGGGTGGGCAGCAGCAGGAGCTATGTCACAGCTTCTCAGAATGGGGCTCAGCAGTTCTCAGCTCCAGACTCCGGAAGTGAATCAGTCTCTAAGCTCTTGAATAGACAGTCAAACGGGATAAATGTACTTATTCTGTATATTTCCAGCTATCATATATATATATATATATATATATATATATATATATATATATATATATATATATATATATGGTTTTTGTTGTTGTTGTTAATCTCCACCCAAGGATATTTTTTCCTCATCGATTTTTAGAGAGAAACATTGATGTGAGAGAGACACATCCATTGGTTGCCTCCCGCACATGCCTCCACGGGGGGTGGGGGGTGGTGGGGGTGGGTGAAAGGGGATGGGGATCAAGCTTGCTACCAAGGGATGTATCCTTGACTGGAAGGGAACCCACCACCCTTCAGTCCACGGGCTGATGTTCTAACCATTGAGTAAAAACAGCTAAGGCTATATATGGTTTTAAAGTCAGACAGTAATGCAAAGAGCTGACAGTGAATTATGGTCTAGGCCAGCCGTGGGCAAACTACGGCCCGCGGGCCGGATCCAGCCCGTTTGAAATGAATAAAACTAAAAAAAAAAAAGACCATACCCTTTTATGTAATGATGTTTACTTTGAATTTATATTAGTTCACACAAACACTCCATCCATGCTTTTGTTCCGGCCCTCCGGTCCAGTTTAAGAACCCATTGTGGCCCTCGAGTCAAAAAGTTTGCCCACCCCTGGCTAGGTTCTGGTCAGCTAAAAAGTTGATTGCAGATATCCTTTTTATAATTCAATATAGTAGTCTGAAAAAAAAATCCAAGGTAAGGTGTTTATACAAAGGAATTAAGAGTTCTACTGAGGCTAATTCTTAACCTGAAAAAAGAAAATGTGTGTCACAGCCCAGGCCCACTGTTCCTGCCTCATTGACACATGTTTCCTTCTTCAAAGACACTGTTCTAGAGGGAAGTACCCAAAGTGAATGAGGTCAACTCCTTTTGGAGATCTCTTGGCCAGAGGTCTGTGCTACGTACTCTTATGACATCAAGAGAGGAGAATTGTGCCCGGCCGGTGTGGCTCAGGGGTTGAGCATCGACCTATGAATCAGGAGGTCATGGTTCGATTTCTGGTCAGGGCACATGCCCAGGTTGTGAACTTGATCCCCAGTGTGGGCATGCAGGAGGCAGCCGGTCAATGATTCTCTCTCATCATTGATGCTTCTATCTCTCTCTCCCTCTCCCTTTCTCTCTGAAATCAATAAAAAAGTATATATATATTTTTAATATATTTTATTGACTTTTTACAGAGAGGAATGGAGAGGAATAGAGAGTTAGAAACATCGATGAGAGAGAAACATCGATCAGCTGCCTCCTGCACACTCCCTACTGGGGATGTGCCCGCAACCAAGGTAAATGCCCTTGACCAGAATTGAACCCGGGACCCTTGAGTCCGCAGGCCGATGCTCTATCCACTGAGCCAAACCGGTTAGGGCAATAAAAATATATTTTTAATAAAAAAGAGAATCGCAAAAACTGAAGGACATTCAACTAGTCACTTAGCACCTCTATAAGTTCAGCCCTACCAGGGACTGAAATATGCTAGAATCAGGCTTGCTATTTAGTTCCTTCAGTCTGTCCTTAAATAAATCCCCAGAGTCTTAATGCTTTCATGCCACTCTCCTCAGAACACTTCCTAATTCATCTACGAGTAAAGATGCAAGATGGCACAGACAAGTTCTGACAGCCGCATCTCAACAATGCATTATACCAACGGCTACATGACAGTGAGAGCCTCACTCAATTCCTATCTAAAACACAATTCAGGACATCAACATGCAGCAAACACAAGGGTTTAGTTGCCTTTCCCGTCCTCCCCTCCAACATTAAGCTCCTGTCTATTGCCAAGCTTGTCTGGCCCTTCATGCCCTCTTCAAAGCAGTGACAGTGTCCTCATCATAACGTGTTTCAGATTTTGGAAACTAGCTTTCTAAAGGTGCATACGAATTCTTTACAAGTGAAATGCACATAAGTATTCATATATTCACTTATCAGAAATGCTCTGAGAGCCCAGCTGGCGTGGTGCAGTGGTTGAGCATCGACCTATGAACCGGGAGATCCCGGTTCGATTCCTGGTCAGGGCACATGCCCTGGTTGCTGGCTCGATCCCCTTTGTGGGGCGTGCAGGGGGCAGCCGATCAATGATTCTCTCTCTCATTGATGTTTATATCTCTTGCTCTCTCCCTCTCCCTTCCTCTCTAAAATCAATAAAACTATATTAAAAAAAAAAGAAATATCCTGAGATATAATACATTCTTTATGGTCCTTAATCACCATAAGATTTGGCTTTAGAGGTACACATGGACAGAGACTGAAGGTTGATTGGGGCAGCCCTCTGCCCCTCCATTTGAAGGCAGAGTTAACCATGCAGATAGCATTTTCAACCTCACCTCCCTCCAATAAATAAAATTGTATTATAACCTTTGAACTACCTTGATGCTTTAGCCATATTAAGAACACACACAAAAGGACCAATTATTTCCAAAGAACATCGTTAGAGTAATTGAATCTTTCTAGAAAGAGGATTTTTAAAAAAAAAATCTAGAAAAGAGTTTATAAAGAGTGTCCTTCTTAAATCTAACCAAATGCATTGATAGTGCAGTAGCTCTCTGGAGCAGTTTCCTTGGCCAGGAGGCACTTTCCAAATGGCCAAGGTGTCCTTTAGACGGCATGAGCTTTGACCTATGAACCAGGTCACAGTTTGATTCCCGGTCAGGGCACATGCCCAGATTGTGGGCTTGATCTCCAGTAGCAGGCGTGCAGGAGGCAGCTGATAAATGATTCTCTCTCATCACTGATGCTCCTATCTCTCTCTCCTTCTCCCTTCCTCTCTGAAATCAATAAGAGTGTATTAAAAAGGAAGAAGTCATGGGCAATTCTTCCCTTCGGCGACTCTAAGCCTCCCTCACCAATCTGAGTCTGGTACACTCAGCCAGCTGTCAAGGACAGAAAAAATCTACAATTCTCCCTTCCCTAAACTTCAGAACAAATTAACCATTTATTAGCCAGTAATGTCATCCAAGGATTCGATAGGATTGTAAGTCACACGAATAATAGTATTTTTAGCGGCTGAAACAAGGGGTTAAATGCCAATCGTTACCTGTAACATTGCCAATAACCTTAACCACAAAACGATATAGATATATTCTGGCTCTTTGCCCACACGAGATGTTCCATGAACATTTACATGCATGCATGCCAACCAACATACAAAGCTGTGCACGTAAATGTTTATAACCTTATCCCCTTTCTATGTAAAGCATTGCACGCTTATCACATTTATCATAAAGAGCCCAGGTAATACCCAAAACATACATATTAGCAAACATTATGCAAACCCTACCCTCCCATCTTGATAGGCATTCTTAAGCTGTATTTTTGCCATCTTCTTTGGTTCAGTCAGTTCTTTCAGCTCAACTAAAAAATATTCTGAAAAACTTCCTGACTTCCAGTCATCTTAGTTCACCGCCTGCTGCTAGTTAAAAATCCATTCCCAAATGAGAGCTTCTACAGGAAAGGATACACACGCACTCCAGGAAATAGACATTCATTTTCACCTTCAAGACACCAAGCACGTCCCCTGCAGCTCAGAGCTCTGATTTGCCCGGTGGACTTCGGAGGCACATTCCGCAGTCCCCATCTGCAGGGCAGGCTCGCCTGTTTTGATCACGTCTAAGTTTTCCAGGTAAACAGGTCACCCTCGGCGACAGGGACGACAAAAGAAACTCACCCAGGCGGCCAGATTCCAGTCCCGGGCGCTCGCAAGTGAGCCGACCTGTCGCGCCCCCTCCTCCCGGTCCCGGAGGGAGGGCAGGCGCAGGGCCGGCTGAACTAGGCTGGACAGCAGGCTTCCCGCCGCTCCCCTCCGCAGACCATTGTTAGAGCCGCGGCCGGCGAGCTTCCTGCACCGAATGGGGGCGGGAAGCTCCACCGAACCGAATAGTTGCAATGCTCTCCCGGAGCCCGGGAGGAAAAGCTGCTTTTGCATCCGAGGCGGAGGCTGTACCAGGTGTAACTTCCACCCCGTGACCTATTTTAGAGTGTGAGAATGAAAGCAGTGAGAAAAAATAGACGGAAGGTGCGCGGGGCAGCTGGGCGCCGTGGGCGCGGGGGCCCGGGTGGGAGCGCGCGTGCGCCCGGGCGCAGATCGGGGCTACGGAAGAGAAGTTGCAGCCAGGGCCCTGGAGGGAGGCCTCCGGGGCAGTGGATCCGCGGGCAGAGCCGGGGGTGGCCCCTCCGCAAGCTCCTCCCCCGCCGTGGCCCGATCCCGGCTGCGCCCCGCCCTTCTCCGGCACGCCCCGCGCGGGAAGCGCTGCTGGGAGGGGAGAGGTGGGGGGGCTCGGGGGCCTTCAGGTGGTGGGGGCAGCAGCAGCTGGGCGACCGCCCGCAGTTCCGGGAGCGCAGTTCCCCGCCCCCATGGCCATCCCCGCCCCCCGGACCCACCCTCTCCATCCCGGAGGTGTCCCGAGGACAGCCTCGGGGAGGCGCTGGGCGTGGAGCAGAGCCCGAGGGGTGCCACCTCCCCGCTAGTCAGTTGCAACGCCCCGCCCAAAAGTGCCCGGGAAGTGAGGCTCTGCCGCGGGATGGGGGGGACCTTCCTGCTTCCTCCCCGCGCCCTTCTGGTTTCTCCTTCCTGGCGTGGCCCGTCCCACACGGAGAGGACGCCGAGGCGAGTACACCTGGTCCGCCCGGAGCGCAGCAACGCCATACCTGGCAACAACGTGACGCTATACCCTTAGCGCGTCTTTTCACGTGTGTTCCTGGCAAACAACTACTTCAGGGGAAATGTCCCCATTGTGCACCTTGGATAACTGAACACCAAAGGGGCTAAGTCCAAGGTGCCACCGCGTAGACTCTCCGGAGCTTTTCACTAAAACTGGATGCTCAATCTGTTAGGAGTTTTGCAAAACTAGCCCCATCCAAGTAGCATCTATACGGGAAGGCGGGGTGGGACTTAGGTTAGAAGGTTCTACCTAAAGTCTTTCTGCCCGGTCCTTAGCATGATAATCGTCAACCTCTATTATTAAACAACTCAGTAATGACCAGGGGCCTGTGTACTTTCAAAGATGCTAGTGCCCATTGTCGAAAAATCAGCATGTTTAGTAACTGCTCTGCTGCCCTTGGGTGGGAGGCGATGCTCCTGGCTTCATGGGTGTGGGGGGACTTCATGTTGTTTTTCCAGGCGTGTGGTGTGTGTGTGTGTGTGTGTGTGTGTGTGTGTGTGTGTGTGTGTGTTTGGTTGTTTTGTGTGTGTGTGTGTGTGTGGGGGCCAATTATAAGTGTATGTCTCACATAGACACTGGTGAACTAAGAGGGAGTGGAGGTCAGCATATGTAGTTTGATTCTGGAAGAGTTACCTAGTGCCAAGGTATATTGGTGTAGGGGAGGAAACCTTTGCTTGGGCATCTTTATCACTATGCCCAGGATATTCAAATTGACATTTCCTTGTTCTATAAATGTCATCTTTTTGCATATAAAAAGAAAAGCAAAAATCATGAGCCTAGTTTTACATGTTCTTCTGGAGCTGAATGCCAGCCCACAGACGTGCCACTGCTCATTTTTGTTTCCATTCAATGGAGCTACAGCAGCCATCCCTCCTGCGATGCAGATACATACTGGATACTGTGCTAGTCCTTGCCCTCTTCTAACAGTGCAAAAGGAGAAAGCACACCTAAATGAGTATAGTATAGTGCATGGTACACACACAGGAGGTGCCTAATAAATACCTGTTGAGTGAATGAGATCTTAACGGAATGTGATAAATACAAAAGTAGCTTGGTTTAAATTCTGCAGGAAAACGTGAGGGAAATCAATTATAGGTGATGTGGTCAGGGAAGGCATCCTGGAGGTGGTGCCAGGTGCCAGATTTTGATCTGAACGGGCTAAGGAATGAAAGTGAGGAAGTATGTTTGCTGTGCTTTCAGGACATGCAGAGGCAGAGGTTCCTAACCATTTGTAGGTAATAGGCCCGTCTGAGAATCTGATAGAAGCTTTGGAACTCTCCTGTATAAAAAATAAAAGTAAAAATATGTGCATACATTTCCTGAGATTTCACAGACTGGCTAAAGCAGATCTGTGGAATCCCTAGAGGTCTGTGGGCTTGAGTTATCATTTTCTTATTTGGAGGCAGGAAAAAAATAAAGAGATTACTTTCTTTGAGGCCATCAGAGGAGGCATTTCCATGGCCACTAACAGAATTTGGGTAATGGCTGAAGGAATGGAAAGAAAAATGTTCTATAAAGAAAATGTATACACTTGGAAGCATTTCCTCTTTGAAGCTGGACCTTGTAACATTTTTGTTCCTTTGTACATGAGAATTTCACTTTCATCTTTCAACAAAAGGGGGAGGACATAGACAAAATATGACTGTCAGACATTGGCAGTTGCCGATCCTAAGTGGGTACATGGAAGGGGTTATTATATTATTATCTCCTCATTTGTGATGTTTGATAATTTTCATGAAAAAAAATTAAATGATTTTTACTCTCAGATAGACATAACCAACCAACCCTATGACATTTCTTAACTTAGCTTGTTAAAATGGACATTTTGTATTAAAAAAGGAAAAAAGGAAACAAAACAATAACAAGTACACTAGTGATGCCAACATAAGATTACTAATAAATGCAGTCTCCATAGAAACAGTGGGGTTTTCTCTTATAATTAATCATGAAGTGTGTTAGCAATGTTTTCAAGTGTTCTGTTTCTTTCTAAACTTGCACTTTATTTTATATTGCTTAGTTAAGTCGGTTCCCTTATTATTACATATAATATATACTATTGTATTGCTGTATATAATTATGTAATAATAAATATCTATATATATAAAAGCTTACGTGACCATCCGACCATTAGACCATCTGACCAGTAGCTATGATGTGCACTGACCACCAGGGGGCAGATGCTCAATGCAGGAGCTGCCAAGCTGTGGTGACTTGGCAGCTGTGGTTCTCAGGTGATGCACCTGAAACCAGAGAGGAGGGAGTCCAATTCCAGGCTGTGTCACCTGAGAACCACCCTCTCGCAATCTGGGACCCCTCGGGGGATGTCGGAGAGCGGGTTTTGGCCTGATCCCCGCAGGCCAGGCCGAGGGACCCAACCCGGTGCATGTGCAACGGGCCTCTAGTATAGTATATTACTACATCTGATTGTTAGTATGTTGTTTAGTCAACTCCATTTGTTTATTCACCCTCTGTGTCTAGCACATAGCTTTTGGGGAGCAGATTGCGGGCCATGGTTCTCTGAGTGCTTGTCCTGCCCTCCTTTGAGAAAGACAGTGGCAGTGGTCCCTTACATATAGGGTGCCATACTACCCATCATGGGACTAACTCAGCCAAGGATTCGTGACCACCAGAAGGCGCTATTTGTCCTGTGGCCTACAAGGCAGAGGCCAAAGAAGGTTGCCAGATAGAAGATGATCAGTACCAATCAAATCCCACCCCCCCCCTCCGTCTTACAGGCAAGATTTGGATTTGAACCCAGGCAGTGAGTGCTCCAGGGCCTGTGTTCCTACCCACTCTGTTCACTGCCCCCGGAAAAGCAAAAACAGTTAAGTGAGCTGCATGCATGACCCAGTGGCACTGTAGGGGCAATGGATGCCTTGACAATTGAGAGGCTCACCTTACCATAGGACCCGGGGCTGCTGTGTTTCCATGTTGATCTTCCAGCACCTTCTTCCAGCTCAGGGTTGTGGACATTATGACTTGCCCTTCCTTACTTCCTCTTGCAGTCTCATGACAAAGTAATGTCAAGGTAGATAACCCGTTTCTTTTTTCACAACCTCCATGAGCACAACCGCACGATAGCACATGATTCTTTCTACCGCTGCCAGTACAGGAAGCGCTATCCTGTCTATCATCTGAGTGGCCTTCTTTCCTCTTCATAAAACATGGGAGACACCTTCTTAGAGATGTTATCTGAAAGCAAATGTTTACAAATCAAATCACATTTTCCAATTGACTTTTTTTTTTTTGTAAAATAAATCTTTTTCCACAAAAATAACATTTTCCTTTGGAACCATTATGAAAATTATATCCAGAATTTAGCGGCTATTATTTTTAACTGCTTACTTAATGGAATTATGGAAGGAAATAGAATCAGTAAATATGAAAACCAAATTATTTCATATCCCTTCTGCTTGACGTCTATTACCAACTTTCCATTGCTTATTCAATTCCACAAATCCATGGAGTAGGGTGCAGCGCCCCTCGCAGCCTGGCACCAATGCACTTCCTGGGGCTCAAGGAAAATCATAAGATCTCTCCAGTATATGCAGCCCTCAACTTCACACTTCTAGTTTCTTAAATTATGGCATTTACTAGTATATAGAAATTCAGCTAAGTTATTTTCCTAGAACGTTTGACCATTATTTATTTTATCCTCACTGTCTATCACAGTTCTTAGCACTTAGAGCTCAATGCATATATTGGATCTCGCTCATTTTCATATATTACAATGAGTCTCAAAATCTGTTGCATGATACTTATGTAACTCATTCATTTCCGCTCTGAGCATCGACTACATAAAGCCCTGATCAAAGAACCGGCTGTTGAACCATTCTGGGTCCTTATCTAGTCTTACTATAATGAAGACTTTGAAAAATATTGCTGTGTTCTTACCCACATTTTTCCTCCTTTCTAAGTCATTCCATATTTATTGAATGATTGTAACTATTTTAGCATGATACTACCTTGGTGCATTTATTTATTCCACCAAGTCTTCATTGAAGACTTGGGGATGATGTGCCAGGCACTGTGCTAGGAAAACAATGGTGAGCAAAACAAATAAAAGACTCAACCTCCTAGAACTTATGGTTTAGTGGGATGACAGGCATTAGTCACACAATCACGTGTGCTACAAATAAAATGCGTGATGCCAAACTGAAACAAGTATCAGGAAGGCAAGTCACAGCGTGTCATGCGAGCTCATGTGTCCCCTGTCTCTCTTAGAGGGGACATGGGTGTAGGATTTGTCTTTGTGGCCTCAGTTTAGCCCAGAGCTGTGCGTATGGAGGTGATCAATAAGTTTTTGTTGAGGGAACATACGCATCTACTTCTGACATATAAGTGCAGGACGCTTTCTCTATGGCACAGAACTGAATACAGTACCCAGCAGGCATTCAAACCCTCACATGCTGATCTCAACACACTGCCACTTCATGCTGTTTGCTTTTGTTTCCATGACCACAGTCCATGGGTCTTCTATCTCCAAACGCATCCTGTTTTCTTTGCCAGCATGACAGCATGTAACTTCTTGTTAGCCTAGTAGCATGGT